ATCAACTCAAATGCAAAACCTGAGAGCAGAGCTGCAGAATTTGCTAAGGCAGAAGAGACATCTTGGAGACAAAAATCTAGGTGCTTATGGCTAAAGAGGGAGACAAGAATACTAAGTATTTTCAGAAGGTGACAAATTTTATCGGTCATCAAAAAAAATATTGACAAACTTCAAGCGGGCACTAAAATCATAGAAGACAAAGAGCAGATAAGAAAGGAGATCTTGGACTTCTATGAAATCTTTATACAGAACAAGAACCTTGGAGACCAAGTGCAAACTTTGAAGAAATAGCTTGTATCACGGAGGTGGAAAAAATGAGTCTTCAAAGAATTTTTGAAGAAGAGGAAGTGGTAGCTGTAATCAAGTCATGTTCAACGGACAAGGCACTTGGCCCTGATGGTTTTACAATGGCTTTCTTTCAAAAATCCTGGGAATTTATCAAGTATGACGTGATGGGGGGCCTTAATCATTTCCACTGACATGGCAACATAGTCAGGTCCAACAATGCATCCTTTATAATGTTGGTGCCAAAGAAGAAAGGAGCAATTAACCTCAAAGATTATAGGCCAATTAGCCTAATTGGAAGTGTCTATAAGATTGCAGTCAAAGTTCTAGCAGAAAGGCTTAAATGTGTAATGGGTAAATTAGTTTCCAATCATCAAAATGCATTTATAAAGGATAGACAGATTACAGATGCTACTCTAATTGCCAATGAAGTTCTGGACTGGAGAATGAAAAGTAAAGAGCCCGGTATCTTGTGCAAGCTAGACATTGAAAAAGCTTTTGATCAACTCAACTGGTCCTACCTCTTCTCCATTCCAAGACAGATGGGTTTTGGTGATAGATAGATCAAATGGATCAGGTTTAGCATCACCACAGTGAAGTATTCAATTTTGGTGACCCCCTCTCCCCCCTTCCTCTTTATCTTGGCCATGGAGGGTCTAAGTAATATGCTGGACAAGGCCAAGCAGTTGAATTGGCTGGATGGTTTTAATGTTGGTACAAGGAACACTGTGCTCCTATCATACTATTATAGCTTCTTGTGACTGAATATTCTCCATTGGAAGTCAAGAGTATATGTTCCATTGTTGTACCATTCTTTCTTAGATTCTTTGGTTACCATTATTACTACTACTACTGCTGCTGCTAGTATTATTATTATTATGAAATGGGAACTAGTTGATTTTTATATTTTATTTTTATAAGGTAGTGTTTATGTAAATGCTTAATTCTTGGAAACAAGATGTTTCATTTTTGAGGAAACGGGTTTAGAGACAAATGGTGTTTATTGACCTAGAGAAGGCGTATGACAAGGTCCCTAGAGACGTTCTTTGGAGATGCCTGGAGGTGAAAGGTGTACCGGTAGCTTATATTAGGGCGATAAAAGATATGTATGATGGAGCTAAGACTCGGGTTAGGACAGTGGGAGGTGACTTCGAGCCTTTTCCGGTGGTTATGGGGTTACACCAAGGATCTACGCTCAGCCCATTCTTATTTGCCCTGGCGATGGACGCACTGACACTCCATATTCAAGAGGAGGTGCCTTGGTGTATGTTGTTCGTTGATGATATAGTTCTGATTGATGAGACGCGAGGCGGCGTTAACGAGAGACTGGAGGAATGGAGGCAGGCCCTGGAGTCTAAAGGTTTCAAGTTGAGTAGGACCAAGATGGAATATTTGGAGTGTAAGTTTAGCGACATTTCGGGGGAAGCGGATGTGGAAGTGAGGCTTGACTCACAAGTCATCCCTAAGAGCGAGAATTTCAAGTACCTAGGGTCTATTATCCAGGGAGACGGGAGATCGACGAGGATGTCACGCACCGTATGGGGTGGGGTGGATGAAATGGAGGTTGGCGTCTGGAGTCCTATGTGACAAGAATGTACCACCGAAACTTAAAGGTAAGTTCTACAGAGCGGTGGTTCGACCGGCCATGTTGTATAGGGCCGAGTGTTGGCTAGTCAAGATTTCACATATCCAGAAGATGTAAGTAGCAGAAATGAGGATGTTGAGATGGATGGATAAGATTAGGAATGAGTTTACTCGGGAGAGGGTAGGCGTGGCTCCCGTGGATGACAAGATGCGTGAAGCGAGGCTTAGGTGGTTCGAGCATGTATGAAGGAGGAGCCCAGATGCTTCGGTTAGGAGGTGTGAGCATTTAGTTTTGGCAGTTACGAGAAGAGGTAGAGGGCGGCCTAAGAAATACTGGGCCGAGGTGATCAGACAGGACATGGTGCATCTTCAAATTTTCGAGGACATGGCATTTGATAGGTAGGTGTGGAGGTCGAGCATTAGGGTTGTAGGTTAGAGGGTAGTCGAGCGTTTATCTGCGCTGCACCAACTAGTCTGATAGTGTTTGTCTAGGACTGCTAGCGATTTTTATTGTGTTTCATAATTTTTTTATTTTTTTGATTTGTTGTTGCTGCTATCACATTTTGTCCTTTCCATTTATTTTTGTATTTTACGATGCTGATACTACTTTTCTGGTTTCTGTTGTAGTTACGAATCTATTGTCTCTGAGCCGAGGGTCTCCCGGAAACAACCTCTCTATCCCTTCGGGGTAGGGGTAAGGTTTGCGTACATTCTACCCTCCCCAAATCGCACTAGTGGGATTCTACTGGGTGGTTGTTGTTGTTTGGGTTTAGAGACAAATAGGGAGAGTGAGTAAAATATTTGTTTGGAGTAGTTTGATCTGTCAGTAGTTCACCTATTGTTGATCTTTCTCCATTGGTGGAGTTGGCTCCCTGTTGTATTGCAGGACTAATTGAGGCTTCATCTATTTCGTTTACAGGTAAGTGTTGATGATAACTTTTGGAAAGCAATGGAGAAAATTAAAAGCATTGAAGTCCGTAAGAAAGCAATTTCCATATTGATGAAGCTTTCTAGTGATTGGCAATGGCCCCGCACTGAACATATCACTGTCTTAAATGGGATGTCTACTCAACGATTGGAGCTCTGTCCTATTGATGGGCTCCTTCATATTGTTCTGACTCTTGAGACAGTTATGGAGACCTCAAGCTATGTAGATATCATGCGGGTTTGGGATATTCGGCCACTGACAGAGATACCAAACCTCGATCCTTTGCTTATCTTGTGCAAGCAGTTTGATGCTCTTCATTTGAAAGATGAGTTATAGCCGTCCATTGGGAGTTCATCATCAGGTAGGTTTATCTTGAAAAGTGCACGCGTTTGCATATGTCAGACAGTTAGAGCGTGTGTTTAACGTTACCCCAAATCCCTTCTGGGCCCAAATCTATGTCAATGTACATACAGTTTGTTATAGGGTGAAACATAGTAAATCTTTTGATTCTGAAACAAACTAAACTGCTGCGTGATAACTTAAGAAAAGCTTAAGAATGTAGGTGTTAAGGAAGTTCATCTAAACTTCACAAACCTGATCCTGGTGTTTGACTACCAAAGGCTCCAAACATATCAAATCCAAATTGATCTTTTAATTGCCTAAAAGCTGAAGTAGTCGTTTGGTGACCTTTCTATGCAGGTAATAATCTTGAGGTTAGAGCATCTGATGGCTTGAAGTTACTGAAGTGTGCATACATGAATATACAAGATTGGTAGGGCATTTTTTGTAGAGATGTGGAAACGATACAACTTTTTGAGACACTGTTTTTTTAATGTGCATAGATAGGATTGGTTTGACTCTGTATAAAATGGGAAAAAGTTCTCTTAATGTGCATAGATAGGATTAGTTTCATGCAGTTATTGAATGCGGAAGAAGTTGATACGGGAAATCTTTTTGAGGGGCTAGAATATTATGTTGTGTACTTTCAGTTTGCAGCTATCCCATCAATGGAGCTAACCACTTCCCTTGGTTTTGCATTTATGTCCTTTCTCAAAGATCTCACCATCTGAACTGATTTGTTTTTGTTTTTAGCCTAAATAGCTTGAGCTTCTTGTAGTTTGACTTGTCAAATCCTTCTTGAATCAAAGTAATTTTAAAAAAGCAAAGCACATGAGATTCAACCCAACCATCTTGGTGCCCATTGGGTGGAGCAAATTAGAACATTGTGGATTTCTCTGGAGATATTTATACAGCTGATATAGGACTTTGTACATTTTTAATACAATATTACCAGTGCTCCTAATTATACGGTTTGTGCGTGAAGTGAAGATTTTTATATGTGTTAGTTTTTGTTTGGTTGTGTTGTTTCCCTCGACGGAATTAATATGTGAGAAACTTGAAGTGACTCCAAACAAAGTGAGGGAAAATTAGATACTTTTTTCCTTTATGTGGCCTCCAAACAAAGGTCAAGTGTTATTAGCAAATCGGCCTTGAAAATCTCAAGGACCATTCTTCCTTTAGAAGGAGAAGAGAAAAACTGAAAGCGATTGCATTGAAGTGATGACGGCTGCGGAAGGCCGCTAGTGGTCCGTATCCAAAATATGAGCGTATTCTTATTTCATTGATTCAAACACATTTTGTTAAGACATATCAAGGATTTAAAGCAAGTAGATACCACATATGTTTTATAATTTTAAAGATTTTCTTGAATTTATATAGCCGTGTTAAAACCGAAATAGTAGGTTGTGTTGATGGAAAGATCTACTCGTTTGGTGTCATGCATATTTCCATTTGCAGTCATTTAATACCTTCTGCCTCAACGAGAGCACATGGAAGCCAAATCATACATTCAAATTTTAAAAATTCGCACCTAAGTCATGCATCTTATTCAAAAAACGAAATAAAGACCAACTCGCACTAAGCTTCATTCGCGTAGGCTTTTTTCAATTGAAATATTAGCGGTTCGCATGTTTGATGTACGAGTTAGTTAAATTAGCAAGAAAACTTCATGACGTTAATGAGCACTGTAATATCTATTCACCACTTCGCAAAAGCTCATTCACCTCGTCCAAAATACAGTTTCTGAAAATCTGACGGCATTTTCTAAAGAGAAGCTGCTTTTTGATTGTTAAGCAAATAGCTTATCCATCGGCACTTGGAACATGGAAGTAACAATTTTGGGATGGTGAAAGCTCTCAACAACTACTAACAAGCTCCACAAAGCACTACACTTACAGTAGGTAAAACGACTAATTGAAGTATTGCAAATTACACTTCCATTCAATACGAACAAATTAAGCCAAAAATGTTAACCCTCAATAACTGATGACAGCTCTGAGCTCTTACACATTACATGAACGAATACAGTGATGTGGCCAACTGTAGACAACTGAGCATATAAAATCTCAATGCGCATTTCAAATAGCCAGAGTCAACACAGCATTCTAAGGATAAAACTTGTGCTCTGACTGTTGAACCATATCATGGGTCAAAAGGCCAAGATGAACCTTTGAATCTTGGATTGTGCCCTTTCCTTCTCTTCTGGCCCTTCCAGATCTCCTATGTTGTCATGATATTCCTACATCGCAAGTATAAACTTCAATATCAGATCAGACTTTAGAGTATCTTCAGAATAAGGGAAAGACTAGGCCTGACGATGAAAAAGTGAACTACATATAGGAAGGAAAACAGCTTCACATAAAAATCTGTATGAATTTCATTAAGGAGAGATTATTCATGAAGATGGACAAGGGAAGTCATTAAGGAGTTCTTCCTTCCAGATCTATCTTCACAAGTTCACACCACAACACCAAAGTTGTAGTCCAATAATCCAAGCATGAAAGAAACAATGGTCACTTGTTGAACAAAATCCAGCGTGAGAGATCGAAATACCAATGCGCTCCGAATAACCTGGTATTAAAATTGGAGTTTGCACTAATGGGCTATAAGTCCTAAGGTATAGCTCTCGCGAGTTAACCTTGTCTCCAGAAGTATCCAAGAATTTTCACTTTGTTTTTTTGGATAAGCAGAAGAATCCAGGAACAAGGTATAATATAACTACCTTAAAGCAAACATAAGCAAATGAAAAGGAGGGAATGACACAGGAAAAAAGGACGCCATGAGCAAAAACCTGAAGTATATCTTTTACGTCTTGCTTAGTCAGCTTTTGTTGCTTTAGCAAAAGTTCAATCCTTGCTCTGATACGAGGATGCCTGCATTAAAAAGAACAATCAAGCAGGAGGATCTTAGATATATCCCAACATCAGAAGGGAAAAGTATGTCAGGTGCCAAAACTTACTCAGAGGTCCAAAGATGACCCAGGATAACAGCTATCAACTGCAGGATCAGGGAGAAAAAGGAAGGACGATAAGAATGCCAAAGATCTGAGGTGGTAATGTGCCGTAGAAGAGATGATAGGTACAAAAATAAAGATGCCACAAAATTTTTGACCTGAAGAGTGTAAAGTCCAGCTCCTAACTTCCTATTGTACTTCTCATCTTCATCCATCTACAAACATGATTAATATAATGGCAATATAAAATAAAATGCTTTAGAGAAAGACATAATGATGAGCAAAGACTAAGAAGTAAACGGACCTCAAAATCATCAAGTTCTAGCTGGTCAAACCGTTCAGCCTCAAGTTTCACTCTATTGGAATATCTGCAAAAGTTCCAACGACGAAAAGAATTGAAAACCAGCACAAAGTAATGAAATAGAACTATCAGCCTCAAGAGAACCACTGTTTCTCGCACAGCAGAAGGAAATAGAGCAGGGTACTAGATATATATGTTGCATGAACAATCACCTCATGTAGAGTTCCATAAGCCTGTCAATTTTTTCGCACTCGTTCTCCACAAACTTACTTAACAATCTATCCCTTCTAGAACCTCTCAAGATTCCTCCTGTAACAGAAAAAACTGAAATTAATGCAGTCATATCCAAGGTATACGGGAGATTCCTCCTTATTATTAAACTTATTCTTATAAAGAAAATGCAGTCACAACCAAATATAAGGTAACGTTTTCTCTTTTTCTCCCCGCCCCCTAAGAAGACCCAGCAGAGACGCTAATTCTTATGAAAGAGAAAACAAGAGATGATGGTACCTCCATTCCATACAGGTTAGAGATGCATCACTTAAACTAATGTTCCATCCCCCTACCCTTTCCTGCCAGTCTTTTCAATTATTTCTTCTTTTTTTCTCTCCATATAAAGAGAAAAACACAAAAAGTTGACGTCCTCTCTCGCCTATTCCGCCTTTTATTCTTGAATCATCTAGAAGAAAGTAAATATCCGTTTAGATATGTATTTTTTTAGATGTAATAAGGTTTTATAAGAGTATCCAGCAAAAAGAATATGCTGTGATGCAGTTACAAAAGTGAAGAAAAAGAATATGCATTTAGGTATGTATGAATATGCAAAAACTTTTAACTGTAGCATTAAACACAAAGGCCGACTCTGGATTGTTACTTCTTTTTTTATTTTTTTATTTTTTTTTGGGG